TGACCTTTGCCCCCAGCTTTCATGTAGTAGAGCCTTACAGAGACCCTGTCAAAATGGTGATGGTGGAATTATGGAAATACACGCTGGTAAGTTTCCTCAATACTTCACGTTATATTCCCAGGTACACTCTTGTACACTAAATGGTGTTGATTGGGCATTTATTTTAACGATAAAGATGTAGTACACAGAAATTCAGAGTCTATGAATAGGCAGGCTTAAGTTTGTTACGCAGGTGTTTGAACATTTTAAAGGTATTATACTGATGGTCTTAGTCCAGTAGTACTTGTTGAAATAGAATTGGGGGAAATGTATGAGGAAAAACGACTTGCTAAAATTTGTAAAATTTAAAATGCACAGCAAAACACATCTGATTAATAGGTGATGTTGCTGAACTGTGACCTCCGTGTAGCCTTATGTCAGTGTTCAGCTTTGCACGGCAGGTTGTTAGTTTGATTACTCCACGTAAACCTCAGATATGAACAAACACTTCAACATCTTTTTGGCTTACACACACACACAGACGTGTGCACGCATTGTGAGGATTAATGGTTCTTTTCATCCATTTTCCCATCATGCACTCAGCAGCAGAATCATAATCAGTGCTGAATGGGCTGCGTCGCCATCTGTCTGTCAGTCAGTAATAATACAGAACAACTGCTCAGTGCTGTGAGCACGAGTGGGGAAGGCCCATTATTTTCCTGTTATACAAACAAGTTCAGCCTAATTTATTGCTCTGGTTCATTGTGTTGTCTGAAACCACCGTTTTATTCTACACTGACATTTTTACTGCATTGCGGTTAATTCGTTTGGTACTGACAACGTATTGCCCGCTGCTGAAGGTTAAAGGCTGATATTGTTTGTGCCCACTGCTGTTCAGTTGTCTGTCATGTTAGCGAAAAATCTCAAGAAACTTTAGATGTATTTTAATCAAACTCTCTAGAAGTACTCATTGGATTCAGAGTCAGTCCTTTTCAAGATGGCTGCTACAGCTAAGTGAGATTAGATAACACAAAATAGCTGTAACTCAGCCAATCCGAGCTAAATGTTAGTGTGGTAGTAGCTGAGAATGATCCCCAGCTCATATTCTGAGCAGTAATTGATCACACAGAATCTGTTTTTTTAATTTTGCCATTAAGTATTGGAGAAAACTCTGTTTATGATAAAATCCCCCCCCCCCCCCCCACATAAGAAATGAGAAAATTAACATGTGCTTTTCTTTATCTACCTGGACCATAGAAACGCTGACTCAGTTTATTGTCATTCAAATGTTAAGAATGACAAGCAGAACTCAATGTATGCTACAAAAACTAAATATGAAAAGAATGCTAGAAGCTACATAAGATGGCCTAAAACAGGATTTAAATAAAGAAAATAGTTTTTCACCAATGACAGCAACATCTAAACTGAAGCAACAAATAAGAAGCCAAAACGTGGTCAGTGCAGCAGCATCAGCAGCACATCACAAATTGAGATTGATTAGGTGATCGGAGCAGGGGGTGAACAGAGCATGGGCGGGGTCACTGAGGGCTGCACCTGGACCAGTCTGTTCCCAGTTGAGGCTGATGGCCCACCCTGAGCCTGGTTCTGGTTCTGGTTCTGCTGGAGGTTTCTTCCTGTTGAAAGAAAGTTGTTGCTCAGGATGGTGAGGTCCGAGGCAACCTGGTGGTTTTCTTGGTCATGTAACTATTTGCTAAATGGTATTTCATAATTATGTAAATGCATCATAATCTGATAGAACGGACTGGAACTGGATTAGAATCTGGATGTTTTTTTGGTTTTTGTTGTTGCCAAAAACGGATGATGACATCCATTTAGACATTTTCCCATTTGTGTAGCGCCCTAAGGCAACTTTAGTTGTGAACTGATGCGATGGAAATGAACTGAAGTTTTTATTTTTTGAACTTTTAATTGTGTTCTTAAACAAAATGATGTTTAACTTGTTTTGAATTAGAACTTTGCTGCTAATCCTTCAAAACGTATTTGTCCAGTGAGACACTGCTGCCTTCTCCCTCATGAAGGTCCATGGTTCGTCAAACGCAGCAGATGCATGGAGGCAGTTTTACTGGTGAGGCTGTTGGCTGTCAGACCTGACAACCAAACTGAGCTGGGACCAGTCAGGTGAGGAGCCACCATGTGCTACAGCTGCTGGCACCATGGTGGCTTCACTCATCACTGGACATGCGTTTATTCTGTGAGTTCCTACATGGAACTTTAATGGTCACCATTAAAAGGAGAAGCAAACACTTTCTGATGGTTTGAAAAGCAGCATTTCTTACTGGGACCCAGTGTGGGAGTTCTGTTTGTAACAACAGTTTAATGCATGAACTTAATTCAGCCTCAATCATGTTGTGTTGTTACTACCTGGGTCTGATGGATGAACCATCCATCATCCATCTACCTGGTTGTCCATCCATCATCATCCATCATTCATCTATCTGGTTGTCTATCCACCATCCATCATCCATCCATCATCCATCTACCTGGTTGTCCATCCATCATCATCCATCATTCATCTATCTGGTTGTCTATCCACCATCCATCATCCATCCACAATCCATCATCATCCATCATCCATCTATATGTTTGTCCATCCACCATCCATCATCATCCATCATCATCCATCCATCCACCATCCATCCATCTGTTTGTCCATCTATCATCATCCATCC